CACCTGTAGCTCTTGGCATGGGCTGGATTTGAACCCACCACCTTAGGTATAGGTGGCTGGCGCCTTAGCCACTTGAGCCACAGGCACTAAGCTGATAGCCCAGCTCTTGACAGTGCCCCATATACCCATTCCCTGCTGCCCAGACTGGTTTTACCCAACTCTAGCTTCAAAATGGAGGAACTGCAAGATGATCACTTGCTTCTCATGAGTCTTGACTTTCTGGGGTTTCTTATCCCACTCCAGAAATGCTGGCATGGCAGAACATAACCAGGGAAAAAAAAGTCCTGACTGAAGTACTGAAGCAAACCATAAGAAAAATCTCCTGCAGTAGATTGTTAATGGCTGTCCTAAAACTTAATTAATTTTGATACTGTTGATTTATAATTTGTGACCCATTAGATATGGTATGAAATACCTATAATATTTATTAAAGAAACAAAAAAAGTAATATATGATACCCTGAAATTTATGTTGAATCTATTTTGAATGTTAATTTTTCCATTACCTTAATTAGTACCTGTTTTTATTCGTTATATGTAAGGAACTTGTAAGTATTAAGTGCTTGACAGGTACTAAAATAAGAATTCAACAGTTAGGATTTTTACTAAAAAATACACATAATTGTTCACGTAATTTATGTAATTATTGCCTTCCTTTCTAAGTTTTTCTATACTTCTTTTCCAAAGTAAAATAAATTTGGTGACATAACTTTAAAACTCAGGTTTAATCAGGAGATTGGTAGTTAGGACAGCCTAGAGGTCATTCTTCTTTTGGCCTATAGTACTTTTTCTTTTTCTTTCTTTTCTTTTCTTTTCTTTTTTTTTGATAGCAATTTTTATAATCTCACTTTCTTTTTTTTTTTTTTGAGACAGAGTCTCAGGCTGTCACCCTGGGTAGAGGGCAGTGGCATCATAGCTCACAGCAACCTCCAACTCTTGGGCTTAAGCGATTCTTGCCTCAGCCTCCCAAGTAGCTGGGACTACAGGCGCTCACCACAACGCCCAGCTATTATTTTGGGTGTAGTTGTTTGACGGGCCCAGGCTGGATTTGAACCTGCCAGCTCTGGTGGATATGGCTGGCGCCCTAGCCGCTTGAGCTCCAGACACCGAGCCCTATTGGAGCTTTTTCTTTGAGGCTTCTCCCTCAAGCACAGACCCCTCTGCCTTTAGGTCAGGCTCCAACATGAGGTAATGTACAGAGGAGAGGCCTGAAGGGCCCTGTCTGGGTTTCAAGCACCACAGCTGCACCCTAGCTAAAGTCTCTCCTACTCCAGGTCTATAATGAGAAGAAAGGGTACCTTTGTTGCTATGCCATTTATGTATGCATGTTGTTGTTTGTGCCTTTGTCTTACCTTCCATTGGCATATGTCTTGGAAGGTAGTGGCCTGGGAGAGCCTGAACTCCAGAAACATGGTCTTAGTAGGTAGCATGGTCTCCAGATACCCCCAGGGGAGGCAGAACATTGACTGGAGGAAATGAGCATGACTTTATCTGGCACTTGGGATCTGCCACCGAGTCTCCAGGGAAAGTTTTATTTTCATGAGGACAAACATTCTTTTGAAATCATGTCCAGCTAGAGTCAGCAGCCAAAATGTCTGGGGTGAAAGTTTCCTCTGGAGGAACCAAAGGACTCTCTAAAATCTGTTCTTGAGTCTGCAGAAGGGCTCCTGCCCCTGTTTGCAGATTTTGTTTAAAAATTATCTTCGAATAAGATGTCTGAGATTTAAAATACTCTAAACCAAAATTTAAAAAAGAGAGAGAAAAAGAGAAGAGGAGTGGTGTCAGAACAAGAATGGCAAAATAGTGATTTGTGGTACTATCCTCCCTAGTTTTTTATATTTGAAAATGTCCCTGGCTTGGCACCAGTGGCCCAGTGGTTAGGGCGCCGGCCACATACACCAGGGCTAGCGGGTTTGAACCCAGCCTGGGCCTGCTAAACAACAATGACAACAATAACAAAAAATAGTTAGGCATTGTGGCAGATTCCTGTAGTCCCAGCTACTTGGGAGGCTGAGGCAAGAGAATTGCTTAAGCCCAAGAGTTTGCAGTTGCTGTGAGCTGTG